ATCCTAGCTCCTCAGGAGGCAGAGATCAGGAGGGTCACTGTTCGAAGCCAGCCCAGACTTCAAGACCCTCTCTCAAAAATACCAATCACAAAAATAGGGCTGGTGGAGTGGCTCAAGGTGAAGGCCCTGAGTTCAAGCCCCAGTACTGCAAAAAAAGAAAGAAAGAAAGAAAAAGAAACTCTGTAATTCTGATTAAATACTTTCAGTATATCAAACTGTGTAGCTGGAAGTTTGCTCAGTTGACAGGCCGATGAGACAGGTTGTTGGTGAAGCAGAACCTTTCTAGAGCAGCCACTGCTCCATTTCATGATTTAAAGCCACAGAGTATGTGATGGATGAGCATGTATCGCGAGAAGTCCTGTTGGGTTTCTTTATGTTCCAGGAATTAAAAAATAATGTTTTCCTTTCTGTGTTACCGGGGAAAGGAAGAAGCAGTAATGAGGGGCGGAACATGAGAGAGCAAACAGAGGCACGGCCTGGTGAACGTGAACGGGCAGTTCTGCCGCTGACAGCCTCAAAGCTTATGTCAGAGAACGCCTGTGAACATTTGGTCACCAGAGTTCTTGTGATCTTCACTGCTGTAACGCATCAGAATTAGGGCTGGAAAGAATTTTGGTTAGAAAGTTAGTGGAAAGGGAAAGGGGTCCTATTGAAGTTTGTTTATGGGGAGGGTAAAGGGGCAAGAAGGGTGTGCACGCTTAACTCATTGATTAATGGCTAAGGACTGCTGAAACACCAAAATGGTATGTTTGTGTATATATAAATTTTACATTAAATCTTGTAAGTATATGTACATATACTTTATATTATGTTTTCGAATGGGTCCTTTGATTTTTTTTTTTTAACTGCTGCTTAGCTGCTTAGTGCAATCAGTTTTCTGGATGAAGCCTATGGGAATGGAAAAGAAAGGCTATTCCTTACTTTGGCCTCTTGAGCTCTGCTTAGCAAGTGTAGCTGGTGCCTCTCTGAGGCCCCAATCTTCCCTGGGGAGCAACCTGTCTTAATTTATGCCCAAGTTGGAAAAATATTAACAGTCAGGTCAACTCTAGCCTTGATGGCTGGGGAGGATGAACCCCTAAATGGAAGAGGCTAGGTCTGAGAGGGGCAAGAAGAAGAGAACTAGGAGTTGCATAAGCTTGGTTTGAGGGCATTTTGAGGAGAAGGAGATTCAAGAAACAGGATTATGTGGTGTGTGTGTGTGTGTGTGTGTGTGTGTGTGTTGCTAGGGCCAAACACATGCCCTAGCATGTATCATGCATGTTCCTAGTCCAAGAAGGAGATGACTTTGAATGGCTACTATAGGGCATATTAATTACTGAGATGGGGAGAGACAGGGAAGTGATTTTTTTCACCTTTTGCCTGTATTCCATTCCCATTTGACACACTCCAAATGTTGAGATAAAGATTTGACTTGTTCTCACACTTTTAGAAGTGCTGAACCATCTGGTGAACCAGTTTCATATTACACTTGAAAAAACTTCAGTTCCTAAGGATGGTGTGGCTTGCATCAGTTCGGAGTCAGTTTATGCACGGTCTTTGAGTGCTCTACACTGCTAACTCCATGAAGGACATAAGCGTGTCTGAACACATACTTTCTGTCCTCTTGGTACATTGGCCAGCTGACAATGGAAGAGAGAACTTTAGAGAAAGCACTTTCTGTAAGGAAAGGTGGGCTTTCCTGGAGAGGTAAAGACTGGGAATTCAAGGCAGGCTACAGCAGGAGCAATGGCAGCAAAGGGTGGCACGTATAACTTACACAGTGGGATAATAACAAGATTAAAGGATTCTTAAGCCTTAAAGCCTTTCACGTGATTTAGCTCAGTTCCCTGGGAAGCAGACTAGATGCATTTATTAGCATTTTGCAGCTGAAGCTAAGGAAAACCTGTGATTCAGAGAGGCTGCGAATTGTCTGTGGTCTCAGAAGGGACAAAGCCGTTTTACATTTACCACCTAATCCTTAGTTCACCCATGCTGCAGGGAAAACAGTGCTGTTATAGTGGGCTGAAGAGGAATTGGGGTTTCCTGGTACCCCAAAGATACAAATAAGGATGTTGCTTCAGCTTGTTTAAGAGACCAGGGCCATGGTGACTTAGTCAAGAGAGGTCTGCTTTTCTCTCCCGCATACAGGCTTAAACCTGTAGGTCATCCAAGGGAGGCTGGCATACACAGCTGTAACCTACAAAGTCACTCACTGTGTCTGTTCTCTGCCTCAGAAAGCTGATCTGCATGGGTCATCAACCAGTAAAAGAGTGGACGAGGGAGAAGAGTGATGTCAGAATATTTATGCCCCAAGGTCCCATGCTGGGTTGTCACAGCTGGCTACATTCCCTGACCAAGATCTCTCAGCAACCCCATTAAGTGGTCCTCCTCCACAGTGCATCTCAAATTTTCACTGTCACCTCTTACCTTCTCCCTCAGGCCTTGTGTGGTGATGAGCTACAGGAGACTGTATGTACCCCTTTCCTCCACCCTGCCCACAACTTCATAAACAGCCTCCTCATTAAAATATCCCATCTGTGACATCTCTTTCCTGCTGCTAAGGGGAGGATGGTTATTGGGGCATGAGCCCCATCAGCCCACGTGTTCCTGCCTGCTGTGATTCTGGATTTCCTTCAGTACATTGTGAGAGGCTTCAGCTTAATAGTTCTCACCTGCCGACTCCAAGCTGCCCTTCACCTTACCACCCATCACCTGTCACCTACCCAGTCCACTGGCATCTTCTTTATTTAAGTTAATTGTTCAAAGGGGTTTTCCTGTGATGCTTACATGCATGCATATAATGTACTTTGAGCAAATTCACCCCTTCCCATTACTCTTTCTTAACCCTCCTTTAAGCAGTTTTTAGTGAGTTGCATTGTGCTGTTTTCATAGGTACGGACATCTTCATAGGTACGGACATCACCAAGTGGATGGTGATCCACTTGCAATGTCTTAGATCCTGCCAGCCTGCCCCCATTATTGTACCTTGCCAGACTCAGTGGCCACAGGCCTGTCTACTCCTCATTCAAATCTTGGCTGTCTTCCTCCTGTCCCTCACTTCTCTCCTGCTCTGAGATGCTCAGAATTCAGTCTAGATATCTCTGTTGGTCCCTTGCACACCCCATCAGGTGCTGCATAGATATAGCTTTCAGTCAAGTCAAATTTAGCAAACTATTAGAACAGTTATAAGAGAGGTAAAGAAAATGTATGCAAAATGATGGGTATAGATATTTCATAGAAAAATTAAAATGTCTCATTGAATCACATTATCAGCACTAGGTTTTTTCCTGCTTCTCCAGATCTCTAGAGCTGGTTAGCCTTTTCTGCCAGCAAACAGTAACTCTCCTCTCTCTAATCATTCCCACACCCCCTGACCTATTTCTTGCATAGTCTCTGATCACTGAAAAGGAAGAACAACTGAATTCTGCTATTGCAAACAAAAAACATGGTTGATCATGTGTACAAAGTTGAAAGTCAGTATCTTGATGAGAAGGCTGGAGTGTTCCCTCTTAGCACTGGAGTAAAGAACTTAGGCTCTGTGACAGTTATATTTTTTGACTGTCTGGGTCGTTTTGCAAAAGTCTCAGTGTAGGATGCGTGGGGCAGTACAACTATGCACTTCAGCAGACACCCCTGGGGTGGTCCTTCCTGTAGGAAAGAGTACTTCTGTTCTTTAGAATCTGCAGGGAAATAGGTTCTGCAACTTTTTTTTAATAACCTACATTTTAACAAATTTCACATTCACATGTAACCTTAAAGCTCTTTGTTGAGTTTTGTGTGATTGTTTGTTTTGGTGGTGCCAAGGTTTGAACTTAGGGCTTCATGCTCACCAGGCAAGTGCTCTACCACTTAAGGCGCCACACCCCAGCCGTCTTTGTTGAGTTTTTAAATCCCATTTTTATGAGTCAGTCATTAGTAAAAAGACTCCAGCTGCCCATCGTCTTTCATATGTCGATACTGATGTAAATTATTTCTTATTCAAAAAAATACGGGCCGAACTCTTAATATAATCCCCCCGAGGGAGCACATCCACAGGCAGAGGCCATGTACTCTGTTACAAACCACACATGCAGAAAAGTTCCTGTAAAACCAGAGACTCATTTTGAAATGAGACAGTCTGATTTTTTTATGCTAACAATAAGAACATGATTGCCAGTCTTTAAAAATAAGGAGCAGCTTTTTTAGCAAAAGTACCCACAGAAAAATTATGAAAAGTGGTTCAGTGTTTATCTTTTTGAATATTGTTCCAATGCCATTGTGGGGGAGACAGACTCCTCTGGCTGAGAGAATGAGAGTGTTGGAAAGTGGGTCTAAATGCAAGTTGCATTTTGAATTGTATGCATTTTATTTAGAGTAGTAGTTCTACAAATAAAAGCAGATTCAAATAAATAGAAAATATAGGACGAGCCAGTGCAGGCCATCTATACTTATTCCTTTCTAGTATTAGAGACTTTATTTAATGTTTAGGTTTATTTGTCAGAAATAATTATTAAGTAGAGAACTTTCCGAATTTTTTACTTGTCATATGTACCTTTTTTTAGTGGAACTGGAATTTGAACTCAGGGCTTTACACTTGCAGGCACTCTACCACTTGAGTTACACCTTCAGTCCATTTTGCTCTGGTTATTTTGGAGATGGGGTCTTGTGAACTATTTTGCCTGGATTGGTCTTGAACCACAATTCTTCTGATCTCAGCCTCCCAAGTAGCTAGGATTACACGCATGAGCCACTGGCACCGGGCTCCAATTATTCTTCAGTTATGGAAGAGAAAAGAAGACTAAGAGGAAGTTTCTGAACCTAGAAACAATCTCTTTCCTTCCATTTTTCTATTATGAAGTGACATTGAAGTCCATTTCTGTGGCGCAGTTCCTGCCTCCAGACACATGGAGCAGATCCCTAGTGAAGAGAGAGGTGGAGGCATGGGAAGGGAGAAGAGACTGACTTAGTTTTTTCACAATTCAGCCTGGGTTTGGGCATCAGCAGCCAGAAACACAGGCACAAGCTTTTCACTTGAACTCTGCCTAATTATAGCAGGTCGTATATTTATTCTCTTGCTCAACAATTTCATTTTTAATGGCAACAACTTGATCTTCCAGTTGTTTCAGTTGATCAGCCTTTTCTTGTCTTCTTAGATTCAAATCTTGGATCTTCTTTTCTAAATCTGAAAGAAGAGAAGGAAAGAAATGATATATGCCCACTTGATAGATTTCTCCTAGATTTCCACATTATACCAAATACAGAGATGTGTGTCTCTTAAAGATATACTTAGTTTTGTGTTTTGCATCACTGGACTTCCCAAGGTTTTCACAATACATTAGGGAAAACTGACACTTTTATCTAAAAATTTTTTATCTAAAGACATTTAAAAATGTGAGTCTATCACTGGTTAGAATTCATCAGAAATAAAAAGACATAACAGCCTTGATTGGACTTGATGAAGTACTATATTTCCAAAGGTTAATTCTTATTATTTTAACCCCATTTTAGAATGTGTTCTTTTTTTTCTTTTCTTGGTGGGACTGGGGTTTGAAGTCAGGACTTTGTGTTTGCAAAGCAGGTACCCTACCACTTGAGCCACACCTCTGGTCCATTTTGCTCTGGTTATTTTGGAGATGGGGTCTCTTGAATTATTTTCCTAGGCTGGCCTAAAACCACAATCCTCCTGATCTCAGCCTCCCAACTAACTAGGATTATAGGAATGAGCCACTGGTGCCCGGCTACATGTGTTCTTTACTTTAGAGTTTACCAATTTATTGGATAGGAAAAAGGCCAATGTTTTAATCTCTTCATTCTTCTTTCATGCTGACATTCAAGTCCCCGAACAGTGAAAGCAAACAAAGCCTTTCTTGGTTGCATTCTTATGCATCCATCGATTCACTAATCTATCAGTTGATCCATCCATCTATCTACCTATGCATTCATTTATTCATTCTTCACCAACAAACATTTGGTAATTCTGGCAAACTTGGCAGTGGATACAAGAGGTATAGAGAACTACCTGTGACAGTGTGAGGTGGCTTTTTGCAAAGAAACTTTGACCTTAGCTAGAAATGGACATTCTAGAAGCAGAAAAGCAAATAGCCCCCTTCATTGGTTAGACCACAATGAATACTGAGTTGGTTTGGAGTAATTGTCAAGGTAGCATATGCTTAGAAGAAAGGGCCAGATTGTTGTAGAAACTTGAAACTGTCCTCCGAACAAATGTTGCATTATGTAATGATGGTTCATATGAAGAAAAGAAAATTCAGGGATTGTGACATGGCTGTTTTCAAGTATTTGAAAGGCCAGCTCAGAAAAGCAGAGTGAATATGATCTCTGTCATCCTGAGGAAATAAAATTAAAAGCAGGAGGTGAAAATTTGATGAAGGAAGGTTTTGTCTGAATATAAAGAAGAACTTTCTAGCAGTCACAGCTGTTCAAAGGCTAAAGAGCTGCTGTGGAAGGTAGTGAGTGTTCTGTCACTAGAAGCTTCCAAATATAGGCCATTTGGGATTCAAAGGGAATTCAGCACTGGAAAAGTATTTGGAAAAAAAAGACTCCTGTGTTTCTCACAGGTAAGTTAATATGGTCGAGTGGGCTGATTTTCACTCCCCTACCAGATTCATTCCCCATCCTGTCCTGTGTCCTGGAAAGCTAACTTCTGCGGATGACATCACTTGGCTCCCTTCACCTCTGTTGTCATTCACACTTGGCCAATGGAGTGTGATGACAAGTGATCCAAGGGTGGGATGAGCACACAGTGTCCATCCCTGTCTAGCATCTGGGTTCTGGTAGCTCCTTCAGCTCTCAGCTCCAGCTCCTGCATGGGCCTCTTCAGGGCTCTGGTTCCACTCCTGCTTCCCCATGTCCTTTCAGACTCTAATGGCTCTCACTGCTACTGTCACCCAGTCTTCTATACCCTCATTTGGCTTCCTAAATTTCTCTGTAGAATCTGTCTTCCCTCTCTTCCCTCCAGCCCTGGACCCTGGGCTGGCTTTGACCAGCAGAAATGGGAAGCACTGAACATCCATGGTGGATGCAGGACCTTAGGAGCCTTGCATCTTCTGTCCTCACTCTCAGGGGACCCTGAAACATTCATGCTGTGAGGCAGGGATAACAGGCCACATGGAGAGAGCACCCACTGGTCAGCCATGCATGGTCCACAGCAGACCTGGTCTGTTAACCTGTCACCCAGATGCAGCCCCTTGAGCAATCCAGGTGGAACCTGCAGAAGAACCACCCAGGCAACCAGCAGCAAAATAATACATGGTTGTTGTTTTAAAACATCAAATTTGGGAGTGCCTCGTTATATAGTGGACAGAAAACTGAGACAGCTTAACTATTTACATGCATTATTCAGAATTATGTCAAGTATGCTTTCTGTTTCTTGCTGGGACTCTGACATGAGGTTCTGTGAGGGACCTTGGTTGCAAGCTGGGGTCCATCCTTCTCTCTCTCCACTGCCAAAAGTTCTCACAGAGATCCCACAGGCATTTCTAATAGATGTTCTGTCCCATCTCAAGTGGTAGAATAGGCGACAGCTAAATCAAATGTCTTACTTTTCTATATTGCTGAGTTGTATAAATAGCCTTAAAGTAAAAAGAGAGAAAGAAGTGGGATGCATTATTTTAGGCCTCTTTTAGAAGTCCTCTAACTTAGACTGCTCTTCCAATCTAATTTCCTGAACTATAATTGTCATTCAATGCAGATAAGTGAAAACAGTTTGGACCCTGACTTAAAATAGAGCAGAAATATTCTTCCTACGTTTTTACTCCTATTGTAAGGACCAAGGTCTGAGAATAATAGAAACTGATTTTCATGGTGTTGATTTTGGAATATAAGGTAAAAAGCCTTTCCTTCTATTTCCTTTTAAAATTTCTTAGGAAAATGCTGAAAAACAAAGAAAGAAACATTACCCACAAGTCCACTGCCTTTAAGACAATTATATAAATGTTAAAAAAAATAGTGTTTTCCTCTTTGCTACCCATGTCTCCCCAGAGATAACTAATGTTAACAGTTTGGTCTGTATTTTTCCTGACTATTCATCTTTCATGTCAAGGGATGGTGTAAGTGACTATAAGGCAAACAACTCCTTTTATAATAAAGAAGCATTTATAAGTAAGGAGTCTGGCTTATTTGAATATTTTGAGAGTTATGCATATTCCTAAAGAATATGATTAGTTTTAAAGTTCTGAGAGATCATAAGCATGACCACGAGTAATACGATACACTCATTATTTGGTATCTCTTGATTAGAGGGTATGACATGATGAGCGCCCAGAAAATCATGAATATTATTTGCAGGAAAGAAGACTGACTCACTTTCTGATTGTACATATTGTATGTTTACTACAGTCTGTGTGCATCAGAATTTTCATTTTGACAAAATCGTTGTCCAGAACAATGGTTCCTTTTGGATTGCTATCTAGTGATCTATGCTAGGTGACCTAATGCACTAGAATCTAGATCATACCAACCCAAACAGAGTTGTTTGCATTAGAGGAAAAATAGCAGGGTAGGTTAGGACAGGTTTCTCAGGCCTGCCACCACTGACATTCTGGATAATATCATTGTTTTGAGGCGCTGTCCTGTGCTTTGTAGTTTGTTTGGCACCGTCTCTGACCTCACAAGCAAAATGTCTTCAGACGTGTCATCTCCATTTAAGAATACTGAGTTGGGGAGAGGGTATTTCAAGGTGATCAAAGGGAATCTGTTTGTTCTGACTGATGCAAAGCAGATGCGTATTCTCGCCTTCGTAGACAAATCCACACAAGAGGCCTGTTACTTTACAGCCCTCAAAATATACAACTAAATCCTACTTCACTGTCCTCAGGGGATTTATCTGTGATTGAATTGTGTTGATGATAAATTGAAATGCGTATAAATTCTATCAGGGAGGTGGAGGATTATGATGTTATTGTCAAGTTGGTGGGGTGGGTAAATAGATACCTGCTATCCTGGTTATCTTGTCCTCCGTATCTGCAGCCAGTTTCTCTGCAGCATCCTTGAGCTGTTTCACTCTCCCTAAGGTTTCCTTTGTCAGGCCTGTGGTGCTTGTCTGGTGTTGAAGCAAGGCATACTGATTTTTCAGCTCAGCAAACTCCTGTAACAGAGCCATACTCCCATCATCAGAAAATATTTACAGAACATGTACATATGGATGATGATTCTCCAAAGACCCTTCACGAAAGGAATACAGAGGAAACCATGATCCATGCAGTGTTGGTGAGCCCCTCTGATATTTCCAGGAGGGCTTTATTTGCATGGTTCTTTTTTTCATGTTGAAAAAAACCTCAGACTAATTAATTAAATATTTACTACAAAATACCAATCATTATTGTATATCAAGGCAACCATCTATTGGCACCAACTGGGAGATACAGAAGATACGATGACCTAATGCCCTTGACAAAACTCTAGTTCATGTGGGTCAAACAGTTGTATATTCAAGATGAAGGACAGAGTGGTGAAGATTTGGAAGTAGCAAGGATCCATTCTTTGGTTGGATAAGAGTAAGAAAGAAATGCAGTAGCAAGGAAAGTGGAAATGTTACTATGAAGCTCTTAGAATCAGAATGGAAATCTCTGACATCAGTATGTGTGGTTGACAACCTAGAAGGTAAGTAGATGAGCCAAGGCCAGAGCTGGGTGTAGAGGATGCATGTGAGATGCAGGTGAGCAGGAAGCCACTTTCTCAACATCTGTAGAAAATGTCCCCAACTCCCTAGTCAGTGGGAAATTTATCAGCACATTAGGAATTAAGAGCCAGGGAACAGATCAGTTGTAGGAACACTACAGTTTTCTTTTCTTTAAGCTACTATATTCAGCCAACTGATCAAAGATTTCCTGCTAAGAAGATGAGTTGATAGGTTCTTTCAGCAACCTGAATTAATGGGCTACTTTCCACAACTGTTTAATTAACTCACTGTAATGTGTATAACTTGATCTATTCTCTTTGGTGGGTGACTTTCATTTACTGCTTTCTTTCTTTTTTATTATTTACTGCTTTCTTTTTATGCTATGTAATTGAATTAAAAGGCAAATGCAATATTACAAACAACATAAATTATAAAAGTACAGAAAAATTTGGTTTATGGACTATGTAACTAGGACAGTACTAAGAATACTAGGATGGGAAGATGGGGGAGGACACCCTTGGACATGACTTGGTCAGGGGCTTCTGCCTCCTACAAGGACAGTCTTCTAATGCACAAGGGCGTGACTGCATCAGGATCCCCACCAGTATACACCACTAAGTATGGATCAGCACTAGAGGAAATGCTGAGAAAAGGCACAGCAACCTGGGGCCCAAGGATCACAGAAGTACTGTATGCTCCCATTGGCAGTGGGAGGAATAATGACCTTCCCAGCATCCCCAGCCTGGCCACTCGCAGATTCAGCTTTAACTTTTGCCTGGCCTGCTTGGTCTCGGTTCCTTTGCCACTTGGTCTGCAGCAGGGAGAGTCCATCCTCCAGCTCTGACTGTTGCGTTGCTAAGTCCAGCTTATTCTTTATTTCCTTGGCTTGACTTTCAGCCTGTTGTTGATTAAACACCAGAAAAGTTTCTTTATGAAACAAATAAGAAAACAGGTATGATTATTAACGCCTCAAAAAAAAAAAAAGCTGTGTGGAAAGTAAAATAGTGATGGCACTGTATTCTGTTGCATTTAATTTAAGAAAAAATTATAACAAAATATTGTAGGGATAAGAAAGGATCTAAAAGAAAATACAGCAAGTATCCATGTACCCAACAGTTTAGGAACACAGTACTGCCAATGAGTCAAAGCCTTTGGAGTTCAACTCATATCATATGTCCTCTACAAAAATAAATCAAAAACAAAAAACTTCTAACTTATGCAAAATATAATACTGTACAGTTCTGCTATTTGATTTTGTTTTTCAGTGCTGGGGGTTGAATCTAGAATCTTGAGCAAGCACTCTACCACTTGAGCCTCAACCTGAGTGGTTTTGTTTTTAGTTTGTTTTTCAGATAGGTAGCATGACACTAACTTGGGGAGGGGGCGGCCCTCAAACTGAGCTCTTCCCACCTCTATCTCCTGAGAAGTTGGAGTACAAATTGATTTTTTTAAATTCAAAATTCTACTTATGCACGTTGCTCAAGTTAATTTGTATAGTCCTAAATTATTAATTTTTTAAACCAATTTAAAGCATTCCATTATTTGAATAAATTAAAAATATATTTTTCTATTCTCTACCTTATGCAGGTGGTATCTACGTTTTCTCCTTTACAAATAATGATGTAAATTTTATAACTTGTTTCTTATTTCAATGACTCTATCTGTTTTTAAACTGATGTGTTTTCTTATCTCTTACATATTAGTCATACTTTATGCCTTTGATTTTCTTAAACATAGTAAATAATTTTATTTTGTATTTTTATATCCAATAATGATAATATCCATAGTCCCTCGCATTCTGATGTTTGCTATTTCTGATGACTCTTATTTAAGGCAATTTCTTTATATGTTGGAAATTGGATTCTTGGAGATTTAGTTTTAAGGTCATTGGTTCAGAGGGGATTTGTTTGCCACTGTTAGGTATCTAGGGGTACTACCAACACAGGACCACTTTAATTGACAGTTTTAGCTTAGATTTTTAGGACCACCTAGGTAGTGTGAATTCAACCCCAAACCCATTTAAGAGTCAGCTGTAGTTAACAAGAAGACTACTCCCAGGCAATTAATTTGACTAAGACTGTGTGTGAGTTCCAGTTCTGTGCAGGGTAGGTACTGTCTGCTGCTGTCAGGTTAAGCTTGATTAGCTCTCTGGATTTGTGCTTTTTCTGTCATTTTTGACCTCTGAGGACATCCTTGGTTTCTTACTAATTCAGTCAAATATTAAAAAAATTTAAATATCCTAGGTAACATTTTTAGTTCTTTTTCTACCAGGAGGGTTCCTTAGGCTATTGGTCCACCATATTTTTAGATCTGGAAATCCCTTTTGTGCCCTTGGGCATATGTGAGAGTTTTTCTGAGAGCAGAAGTCTGCACACTTTTTCAGTAAAGGTACAGATAGTAAATGTGGCTCATACTCTCTGTTGCAACTATTCAGCTCTCTGCCACGGTAGTACAAAGGCAGCCATAGGCAACACGCCATGGCTATATTTGCCAACTCCTATTCTGGAGTATGGTGGAATGGGAAACCTAGGGGCCTCTTTTTTTTGCTACCCTATGCATGCAACCTCTTCCTACATAACATGAGGACTAATCAACAGCTACAGTTCCTGTTCTGTTACTTTCTGCTTTTCTTTTTCATGATTTCTGTAGTAGATCTATAAAACTGAAGAATAGAGAATAAGTAACTCTCAACCCTGTAACAGAAAATGCAACTGTTGAAGAAGAGCTTTCATACCATGGGATCTTCTGCTGCAGGCATCCTCTCCCTGCCTCATGGCACAGGTTTGGATGAAGCAATTCTTTCAGGTGAGATATTCTTTCAGCTGTAGAATACTCTGATGGAAGTTTGTGCAAGTGTGATTACAATAAACCTTGCAATAACAAACTCTTTATTTTTGTGGTTTGTGAGTTTTTAGAAGTCTGTTCCTTTTCATGGTATCAGAGGGATGAGCTTTGATCTCAAATCTACTGTTAATTAGCTCTGTGACCTGAGACAGTCACATAACCTCCCTGAGTCTTCATTTCCTCCTTCACAAGCTGGTGGTAGTGTACGCTTCATGCCCCAGAATTGGTCTCAACTAAATGATAGGATGCTTGGGAAGGCTCTGTAGAACAGCAATCAAATGCATAATCCCATCAACACTAATGTAACCCGTCTAGTCACATGAATGCTGGACATTAATAAAGAGCATAGTCCCACTGAAATCTTAATTTAGCCTCATAATAATCCCATCAGACAGGTAAGGCAAGTGTGACACTGGCATATATAAAAACCACGGTGTTACTTCTATCCTCAAAATTGATTTCAGGTTAGTTTTGAAAAAAACATAAATACCTGCAGAACATTCTTTTTTATTTTTACTATCTCAGCAGTCAGCTGTGTGATTGTCGAGTTTGCCTGTCCTTGAGTGATTTGAGCTCGTTGTAGCTTGTTCAATGTTTTGTCAAGGTTTAAGAGACCATCTGCTGCTTTCCTAAGGTAAGATATTAGCATAGCACATTAGATAAATATGCAATTATTTATTTACTTCACCTTGAGAGTTCACTCCACTCAACCAAAAACTTTAGTGAATTATTTATAAAGTCAATTTAAATTCTTCTGAAGCAAAGTGCTGAAGTCTTCATTTTGAGAATGTATTTAAGTACTAGTAACAATACTCATGTACAGACCTCACCAGATACAGGTTTCTCCACACATAAAAACTGTCCTCAGTGATCCAGCTCTCTGATTTCTGAAATGCATGTAGCACTAAGTCCTTATTGGAGGCGGGGCGGGACAGTTGAGAGGCCCCACAGAGAGCAAGAGGGGACCAAAGGCTTGTGTTGCAGGCTGTGTTTATTCAGGGTTATTTAAGCTTCGCTGACATTCCAGGCACTCAGGGGCCCTGTCAGAGGTTAAAATCACAAGAATTCCAAGTGATACACACCATCGTACAGACAGGAGCTCACCTCGAGTCAACATTGTCCAGATGCTTAGATCTCTGGCTCAAAATCACCTTCAGCCAAACATACCAAGTGAGAAGAACATCAGACAGACTTCCAGAAGCATCATTAGAGGTGCTTGTGCCCACGGCAAAATGAGCTGAGCTATAAATATTCCCTGCCCACCCAACCTGTCCTCTACTCCCAGAAGTAGTCTTTTTCCCTTTCTAACCTTCAGGAATCCTCCCTCCTCCCGATATAAACCCCCACTCCATCACTTCATGTTGGCAGCATTCCCAGGGCTCTAGTGTTCTATTACACAAACACAAATACACACACACACTTTTTAAAAACTGTATTCTTTTTTGCTCATTATAGCAAGTTTGGAAAATACTAAAAATGTAAAGAAGGGAAAAATTTACCAGTAATCATCCCACCTTTTAAGATATTGACATATTTGAACATTTTGTCCTATGTATTTTTTCTTTTCATGACTGAGCTTATCTTTCAGGTATAACCTGTCACCTACTTCTAAAAGCATTGCCTTCACGCTGTCAGAATCACTGCGTGTTATTAAGTTTCGTATCCACATCATTTTTAATAGTGTTATGGTTACATAATCTTCCTGGTTTAAATACTGCAGGGGGTTGGGCTTTCAGAGTCATCTGGCACAGTACGTTTGTGCAAGTGGATAACGAGGCAGTGAGGGTGGATCAGGTCTCAACTCAACTGAGTATCCAAAAATGGCAGTGGATGTTGATGTTACCACCATTCAGCTGATATGACCCTGACCTCACAAGCACACTGAGCTCACGAGAACATCGAGATGCCTTTGCCTTCTTGATTGGCTAAGTCAACAGCGCAAAAGGAGGCAAGAGAGAGCCAAGTCTGAGCACCATAGGTGCCATTTCACTCCTGTATTACTCCTGGGGCACTTGTGTCTGCTTCTATTTTCCATCATCATAGTTTTTACTGCAGTCTTTTTAAAATTTAGATTTTCAAAGTATTGCTTATTATAATAGAAACTGAGAAAGTATTAAAATAGGTAAAGGAGGGAAAGCTACACCAGGTTCCGACTACCTGTTAAAGTATCAGGACATAATTAGTACATGGTCTTTATGGGCACACATTGGTATTTAGACCACCCGGAGGGCGGTTAGTGTCTGAAGAGAACCCAGCACATCACCTCCCAACTGCCCACCTCCTTCAAAAAGACCTTAGCCTTCAATTTGGACACCAAGCCATCAGAGGGTAATTTCCATTTGCATGTTATAGCTCCCAGAACAAACATTTTTCAGATGGCTTTTAGCAGATGGTCCGTTAGAGCAAGATGAGAATATTAATACTGTACTTACTCCACTACTTTGGCCTTCACCAAAAGCTTTTGGGCTTCATCTGCTGCTTTATTTAGCCTCTTCTCATCTATCCTGTAGTCCTCACAGAGTTGCATAAGTTTCTGTATTTTGTCAGGTTCATGGGTTAGGCTTTTCGATATTATTGGTAGCTGGATAGCAAGCACACGATTCGCAACCTTCTCTATGTCTTCGGGGGGCGCGCTTTCCTCTTAAATGATAAGGTAGTTTTAGGTAATCATGTTCCTTTAGCAAACCTTGTATCATGTACATGTGACCACAATGAACTCTTAAGTCAGACATTCGCGTTTGATAACTTGCCCCTCTTCATCCCAATCCTCCCCTTTCTCTGTGAGAAATGCTGTCATGAAGTGCTGAAGACTTTTTGAACAAATTCTTGTGGGAAAAATGGAAAAGTAAAGACTTGGAACATTACACAATGTTCCAAGGACAATTCTATAAAATGTCCTTCAAAGAATTCTTTATTGTGAGTTTAGATCCAAAAGCAATTAAACTGTTTAGAGGCCTGTCTTTAAAGTTTAACCACAATGAATGAGAAAGAGGGGAAGCATGGGGTGTAAAGTTGAACAACTCATTCCATCAACATAAATTTCTGCTCAGCTATTAAATTGAGTAACTATCCTTGATGCTGTACTCGTAGGCCTGTTTGGAATGTGGCAATACAGAGTAGAGTACTCTGTATATAACATATCATAAAGGGACCTTTAAAGACATGTTTGCCTCACTTTTCAGAAAAGTCAAACTGGCTCTCCTTGAGAACTGAAATGGAAGAGGTGCAGTGAAAGTGTGCAGTATCACAAGCATTTGTCACTCTCCCAGCTACTTCCTGAACACCTGCTGTGCACATGGCACAACACTAAGTCCCATAGGGTACATTAGAGATGGATTAGACACAAATCTTATCGTCAAGGGGTTTATGGTCAAGTGAGGAAAGAGAAGTCATTATATATAGTACATAAGTGATAACTATGAGGCAAGATGCTGCTGTGGGTTGAGAAGGAGGAAAAACTTCAGGAGGACCTCAAACAGGCAGAGAAATGGCTGTGGGAGACAGCAGGTTAAAGTTGAGGAGGAGATAAGAGGGACCTGAAGAAGGCAAAGCTCAGCATGGAGGAAGGAACTGTGTGTGGATTGCTCCTGGCAGGGGAGTGGTGTGTCTAAGAGGAAAGAGAAGTTCAGGAAGGTTGTGAGCAATAGGCACAAGCTCCTAAATGTGAGGCTGGAGAACTTAGATTTGTTTAGGGGTCAGTGAGAGGCAGAGGAGATATCTGGCATCTGTTTGACATGACATGAGTATGTTGAATATCCTTCTCATAGTTATTTGTACTTTAGCTATTTTTTCATAATATAAAAGGGATATTTACTTTCTAATGTCTTTGAAACAATGTGATTAGAATTACTGCAAATAAATTAAAACCATATTTTAAACAGAATCAGAAAGTGATAACTTTAAAGAAACTGTAACTTTTTCTAATTAAAACAAGTCCTAGTGAAAAGTGAACTTCAATCATTTCTTCATTCATCAAACATTTATTGGCATTTGTTTTGAGATGATAGACTTAAATTTTTATATATAAATCACTCAGGAGAATTGACACATGACTTGTTAACAAGGCATTCAGATTTCAAGGCAAATAATGAAATAATGAGATGGTCCAAGAAAAGCTCAATAGGATGGGTGCCATCCAATGTAATGATAATTTTATTTGCGTCTTACAGATGGGAAAATTGGAGAAACAATGGGTAGGCATAGGATACTGTAAGGTTTGAAAACTTTGTGGTCACCTCCGGTCTTGGGATCTCTGGGGCAGAGGGAAGATTCTTGTATTTCTAGTTTGTATAGTTCTCTGTGCTTTTAGTTGTAATAATCCGCACACAGATTTTGTTTCAACTCTTCAGGTCAATTAAAACAACCGTTTTATTAGGAATAATTCAGTAACAATAGGGGTGCAGGCTCTGTGACCCGTGAATTAGGTGGGAAGCAGGTCGTAGGGACCCCAGTTAACCATGACCATGTGCTACAAGTTTTACATGACCAGGTAGGCAATTTTTATTTTGTTTTTGTTTTGCATTTGCAGAAACTGCCAAAAGTGTTCCTCAGTCCAACCAGTCCTCGATCTAGGTCTAGTCAATACCAATCCTTCTAGTTAAATCACTGACTATTTGCTTCTTGACAAACAAAATGTCCAGTAGACATTCTACTGCCTTTCATTTTTGCTAATTGTTTTAGTCAAAGGACATTTCTGCCTAATTTCTTTTTAACCTTGATTATATGAACTAGAAGGCTAACACAATCTCTAGAAACATTGAGATAGGAAAAAAGTACCTGAGCACAGAGATTTCTTATAAATATTAAACAGATTGATGAAGTGATCCCAGAGATTATACTAGACACTCTGATTGCTAATTGATCCATTTGGCAAATGCTAAATTATTGAACTTGGAGATGGTTATAGGAAAGAAAGCCTGAGATTAAGCCTACACACTGTCCTCCCAAACTCTTATTTGCCAAAGTTGAAGTTTCAGATCACTTTCCTGATGCAGTATTTGATTTTTCTTTAGCAGTACTTTAGAGTTTGAAACAAGCCTCTCCTAAATGACTACTAACTCAAATAAATTCTTTTTCAGTCTTAGAGAGACTACAAATAACAAATAACTTAAAAAATAGTCAATAATAGCTAATAATCAATTTTTTAGATGCTACCTTATTATAGTATTTGAGGTGCTATCCAAAATTTGCATATCTTGATCTCATATCATCTCTCTCAACAAAGAAAATTACCAGATCCTAACATTAAGGAATCTGATAGAGTCATCATGTTGGAATTCCTTTTTCAAAAAAAAAAACTTGAAGCAAGTTCATTTGTTTGGAATTTTAACTAAATTCTAGGACTTTTTACTCCATTAATCTTATACAGAAAGCCATAATTTTCTTTTGGCATGGAATTAATGTTTTGAGTTTATTCTCGTTAGGAAATTTCAAACCAAGGTATGCCACTTCTAGTTAATATAATTTGTAATTGGTTATGATGTTTGAGTATACATTTTTGAAAAGGAAGAGACACAAATCATCCTTATATTTAAAAAATTACCTAACAAAAAGTTTTTCACTTTTTTGATTAAAAAATTCATTTTTTCTTCCTCAGCTTCAATTTGGCTTTTCATATTTTCCAGTTTCTCACTTAGCTGGAAGGCATTGTTTTTGGAGATTTCTGCCAGTTTACTTATGTTTTTAACCTGGAATAAGAAAAAAAAATGAGAAAAATATACAAAAATTAGGCATGGTCTATGATATTTAGTTATTTAGCGGGACCAAATAAAACTGTCATTAAAAACTAAATAAAAGTGTAGGTAATTAAACCAACCATAGATTCATTTTAAAGGACTCTTTTAAAAGGTTATTGTTATTATTATCTGTTTCATTATGACCTTTTCTTAATAACAAGAATTTACCTTTCATAACTTGTTAATACAATTATTATTTGAAAATAATATTGACATAGTGCTAGTGAATCTAAGGCACAAGTTCTGGTTTACTAAGGCTGTAGCATTCTCTGATGCTAGTAACTTGCTCAGAAATGATTTAGGACTACTAACCTGCACTGATCATCTTGTTTAACAGGTTGAGTTAAAACAGTTACTCGTCTAAACATCCCTCAAATGCAAGTGATCTTTAAAAACTAACAAGAAAACATTTCTCCTTTGACTAATGAACTAAGAGTGGGCTACAGAGATGAATCCCACACACTCCATGCCCTTGGTGGAGGAAGGATGAATTGATACAGTAGCAACTAGAAGAGTAAAGTCTTAATTGTGTGATCTGAGAAAGGTCATAGACTTTTTTTTGGGATTCCAACAAACTGGGGAGAAAAAAAAAATCAGAAGGCAGTATCACCAACCAGTTGAGTTTTACTGAATAAATTAATTGTGACAGAAGTAGGACTAATTAGGATCAAACCTAATGGGGGATGGACTCTCCTTTTATTTCCCCACAAGAGGAGCCTGTTTTAATTTGAGCCATAGAGATCTTGTGAAAAAAAAATTAAGTTTATAGTCATTAGCAAGCAACAAAACAAAAATGAATTTATATTATTAAACATGTATGTGTATCTTAAATGTTTTGGAGAGTTAATCCTTAATTCTCTAGAACTTTCTTTAGAATGGATAGCAGTAAGTAAGAAAGGATAGCAATAATGTGGGAATTACAGAAATAAATGCTCTAGACAGGAAAGCAGCAAGTGATACTGATGAAATCTCAGAGTAGATTAGTACCACATTCAGAAAGAAAGATTACTAAATTACTTTACTCTGAAAACATCCCTCTGCCATCCATCTTCTGACACAGTTGGTTCCTGAGAATTCTCTTACAATCTCTTCTGGCACTCTTTCCTCTTCTAATCAAGAGGAAATAGCACACCATTTTGTCAATATGCAAGCCCCCTCTCATCCATTTCCAGCTTCCCACTTGTGTGCTGATTAAACCAGATTCTGTTAATATGTACTTCAGGGGTTATGTTTTAAAACCAATAACTCATCATTAATAATAATAATAATCATCATTATTAATAATAAAATCAACAATCTGGGCTCATTTCAATAGTGTCACATGTCTAACTTTTTGAAGAAAAATAGGATGGTTTAAAATTACACTTTTAACCACTGAGATGTAAGATCGGCATTGTTACAACTGTTGCTGTATTTACCCAGCTTCTAGATCAATGTCTAGCACATAGTAGGTACTCAAAGCATATTTATAAAAGCAATGCGGAATCACATATAAGTTAAAAATTATGCTGTGATACAGAATTGTGCCCATGTAAACAAGCATGACATTCACTATGTGTAGGGATATTCTCCAGCTTGACTCATGACATAACTTGCTCAGAACTGGACTCAGGGGTAGTGGCCAGAGTGGGCTGATGTATGTGTGCTTATCCTGGCTGTGCTTCTCACCCCATTCCCAAGCGTGGCCTTCTGTGATTCCCTTGATACTAAGACCCAGATGTCCTTGTATACATTTCCTTTTTGTTTGTGAGTTGACTTCCATTGTTGTGTGTAAGAATGTCTGATATAATATTCAACATGTATGGGTTAAAAAATTCAGCCCTTAGTACCTTTTCCTTCTTTATCAAAGGTTCTATGTGTATTGTTGAAAAAGGAGCATGTTAGTGTGTTTTCTTTCTTTCTTTTTTCTCTTTCTCTCTCTCTTTCTTTCTTTCCTTCTTTCCCTCCTTCCTTCCTTTCTTTTCTTTTTTTGTCATGAGTAAAGCAGGAGAGTTTATTGAGACAGAAAAGTAGCAAAGAGTAGAGCTCCCAGAGCTGGGAGGGGTCCCAAGAGAGGATGCCCTGTATTTTCAAAAGCAAAGAATAAGTGCATTTTGAGAAACCTAGAGGTTGTAGCTCAGTTATTGAGTATTTGCCTAGCATGTGAAGCACTGAATTTGATCCTCAGTACCACTAATAAACCAACCAAACCAAAACCAAAACAAACAAACAAGCAAACAAACCTAAAGAATGCTAGGCAATTAAAAATGATACTCACTAATAAACAAAATGATTTCAAATTATTACAAATTCAATGATAAGGTATTTAAAAGTTGAGACATTATCATGTCTATCAACACTGAAAGGAGTTCAAAGCTTAAGAGTACATTCTTATTAAGCATTTTCTAACATTAAATTCTGACATTAAAGTTTATATATTTAGTAGAATTTCAAATTCATCCTTGAGTTCATGCAAAATTATTCTTTGTTTTGAGACACCGGTAGCTTTTAAACCTTCCAGGCTGAGTGCAGACATTTCTATGTAGTGTGTGCTATATAAAAACATGTCCAAGGGCTAGTGGTAAGAGCACTGCCTAGTAAGCGTGAGGCCCTGAGTTCAAATCCCAGTGCTGCCAAAAACAAATAAACAAAAAACATGTCCACACAAGTCTATGACCTACTATAATAATACTTCAAGTTCTTTCTTTTCAAGCACACACACTATACACACACACCTCAATATTCACATCTGCTTCAAAATCTATATTTATATCTGTATCTATATTTTAATCTTTAGAACACCTAATTTTCCAGTCAGTAGGACACCTAATGTCTAAATCTGTCATTTCTTACTCGCAAGTTAAATGATACTTTAAAAAATTGCTTCTTTGCTGCTACATCTTCACAAATGAAGCAAGAGAAGACTTTATTTACCTGATTCTCCAACCTTTGAGCCTGCTTGTCCAGATTGTGGATCACAGACTCTGCTTCCTGGGCTTTCTGGAGGGCATTCCTTGACAAGGTCAGAGCGCCATGACAGCTGGGACCACCACACTGCCTACGCCCCTCAGGGCCTGTGCAGAGAGCACCCCCACAGGGCGAGAGGCTGCAGGGCAGGTTCCCTGGTTCTCCACACACCTTTCAGGAGAAAGGGTTTGTGTTAAAAACAGCGTGTTGGCAGGGTTTTTCCTAACGCCATCCAGGCTCACTTTTCCATGCGAGTTTCTTTAGTAGTTGTTCATACTTAGTACCTAGAGGTGCCTATTAAATGCCTCCCAGACAACTGAATAAATATCTAGATTATTTGTCAGTATTGTGCCAACCTGTCATTTTTATATTTATAGGATTTTTTTTGGAAAAATTGTCAAATTTTAGGGTTTCCATGTTAATTTAATTTTCATACCTTTTAATTACAGTAAGGCAAGAAGAAAAAAATGTCCATTTTCTGTACTTTTGTAAATAGTAAATAATATAAAATAATAAAAATCAAGCAATAATCTTCTCTATTTTTAATCAATACTTGAATTAAGCAATAAAAATAAAATACAACTAAATATATATTTATATTATTTACATATATAAGCAAGACTATGTTACATATTATTCATGGAATTTATTTACAATATTTATGCTACTTATATACTGATAAATATAAACCTAAAAAGTGAAAATAAAAGGCAAGGAAATACAATTAAAGAGGTCTGTATGCCAGCAAAAACCACAACCTTTGACTATATCATTATGAATTTTACCTTTTCATTCAATATTTGGATATTTGTCATCTTAATCTGCTGTAATTTTTCCAATAAGCTTTCTTTTGAGATAAGTGTATCTAAAATGGTCAGGGAGTCATTTCTGGTGTTTTCAGAGTTATTTATGATGAAACTACTTTCCTCAGTGTTCTTTTCAGCAGATGATGAAATGTGTGAGCACTTCTTGATGGTTTCTGAGGAATATACATCAACACAGATTGAGATAAGGTAAATTTTATGAAAAATGATTTTATCAGTTATCAGGATAATCGTTCCACAATTTGGCTCTTGTCTTAGTCCCAACTTTCACTTCAAAATTTTGACATCCTCTTCCTTGAATGTGCACCTAACAGGGAAGGACTATAAGAAGTGTAATAAACATAGACATAATAGATACAGGGCATGGACATCCAAGCACACAGGGATGGTTTGTCCTGACTCCAGTCTTTACTGCCTGGATATATTTTTGAGCAAATTGGTTAATCTTTTAGATTTTTGTCTACTTATCTACTTAAATTTTTATTGGTGATAAAAATTTGTGAGGATTCAGTGAGATACTATGAAAATATTCAATGAAATGTGCCACAAATATAAATACCTAATCCTAGATACACAGGAGGTAGAGCTCAGGAGGATAGTGGTTTGAAGCCAGCCCAGGTAAAAAGTTGACAAGACCCCATCTCAGCCAATAAAAACTGGTCATGGTGGCATACATCTGTCATCCCATCTACTCAGGAAGCATAAATAGGAGGATTTCAGTTGAGGCCAGTTTGAGCATAAACACGAGACCCCATCTGAAAAACAACTAAAGCAAAAAGGGCTGGGGGAGTGTCTCAAATGGTAGAGTGCCTGCAGAGCAAGCACAAAGTCCTGAGTTCAAACCCCAGTACCACCAAAATGAATGAATAAATACATAAACAAATTCCTACCTAGACTTAGCTGATAAACGAGCTTAACTATATAGAGCAGGAGTTGACAGACTATTTCTGCAAAGGCCAGCTAATTAATGTTTGTTAGGCTTTGCTTGCCATAGCACTTCTGTAACAATTACTCAGCTCTGCCATTGTCAAGTCACAGCAGCAACAGGGAAGGTTGTGCTCTAAAGAAATTTTATTTACAAAAACAGACATGGGCAAGATTTGTCCTCAGGCTGCAGTTTGCAGACCCCTGACAATGAGACTAATAGCAATAGTTAAGCTAGTTAATCGAGTGCTTTCCATGTGCCTATGTGTCCCATCAATTTTCTTCCTCCATCTTCACAGAACATTGTGAAGTGCACATGAGCACAATTGTTCTAACTTTATAAATAAGAAAACTGAGGCCCTGATAATGTAAGTTATTTAAATACCCAAGATTTCAGTGATGGTAAGAGATGAAGCCACAATTTAAGCCAGGTGGCTTGACTCTACAGCTTGTGTTTTTTTGCGGTACTGGGGATCAAACTGAGGGCCTGGCACATGTGGCATTCTACCACTTGAGCTACCATGATAATCAGTCCACAATTTGGCTCTTAGTCTCAACTTTCACTACAAAATTTTGATATCCTCTTCCTTGAATGTGTTTCTAATAGGGGAGAATTATATATGTTTTGTATTTTGTTTTTGAGATAGGGATTCACTAACTTTTCAGGATTATCCTTGAGCCCTTCCTGCTTCTTCCTCCCAAGTAGCTGGGACTATAGGGCAGGCACCACCATGCCCAGCTGAACCTATGCGCTTAAGCACTTATGTTTTCCATAACTGCATAAAACACAAGTTCATGAAAGCGATGCTATATATTTTAATGTAAATTATAATATAACACACTTGTAAACTATAGCTCCATATTTTAGGAACCAGAGGTCGAAGGTCCTGAGTTTTACTCTCTGCACAACCATAATCCAGGCATGACACAACCATACCTTATCTTTAAAACTTTCTGGTTCTTACCACTATCATACTCTTAATATCATGTTTTTCATTTCTCATGAAAAAAACAAAAAACATGTTCATTTTGCTTGGAATGATTTTCTACTTTTATTTATCTGGCAAATTTATCTTTATTCTATAAGGCTTATCACTGCCCTCAGTTGTTACGTCCTCCATGAAGCCTTTCCTAACAAACCCAGGGAGAATTTGCTTTTCACTCTGCTTCCAAAGCAGGTGTTAAGGATGCATTTGGGGTTGTTTCTATTCCTGTCTTGCCAGGGCAGGAATAATTCAAGGGCAGGTACTTGTCATCTTCCTGGCCCTATGGCCACCACAGAGTCAGGTACTGGGGCACTTCTCAGCAGCTGCTGTTGGGCTATGAATAGTAACTGCTCCTGGCGAGGGTCAGGTGTACTCTATCCTACCTGGCTTCTGATGGCTCTTGAATTCTTTCAGTGGGAACCTTATTCCAGATTGGGAATCAGAGGGAATTCCTTACTCTTCACATGGTGTTCATTAGGCATCATTAATAGATCTTCACTAGAATTTATTTTACTAAATTTAGGCATTCTTTTAGGGAATGCCTAAACTGCTGTCTATTTTTTCTCTTTTTGCTGAAGATCAGATGAAAAACAGTCACATACAGAGAGAATAAAGCAAATCAGCCAATGTTTATGTTTTGGCATGGATGAGTGTGTGTTTACCCTTTGTCTCTGTTAGATGGCGGGGGAGGGGGGGTCTGAATAAACTCAGTACTAACTCTCTTGGTAATAGCAGGCTTTCCATTTCCAAATACCACAGGAGATGTCATCTTCAACAGGGGGCAAGCTATAGAGTTCCATTTCTCCTCCTAGTACATCGTGGCCCTGTCAGGGCTCATGTTCACTTGTAAGAACTGCACAATATGAATCAGTGGCTTCCAATATGTTGCATAACTCCAATTCCAACAAAGTTCTAGTGAGAAATGTTGGGTTTCGTTCTTTTTCCTTTTTTTTTTTTGCCTCATATTCCTTTGTATTTGTGGTTGCTCAGAAATACAGTGGCATATACCAAGGAAGGCACAGAAATGTGTTTCTCTCACTTGCTCATGTCCACATTAGATTTTCTAAGTTCTGATTACTCAAGATTCCTTGCAGGTTTGGCATTAGATTACTCTGGGTCTTAGAATTTGGTTAGTGCCAGACATTGTGACCTTTATTTGTTATTTGGAGCAAATGTTAGCCAGGCTCTGTAATGTTTAAAAAGATGAGTATTCATGTGCACATAATACCTTTAATGCGTGTGTTTGCATGTGCTACAGTGCTGGGCGTCATGGGGGTTGCAGGGGTGACTCACTAATGGAATGCACTGTGGATTTCATCAAACCTTGTGTAGAAACAGTCAAAGTGCATTTTCCCTCTTACCCATAATGCTGGCATTAAGGACGCTGGGCTGCAAATCAATTTCCTTCCGAAGGTTTTCAAGCAAGAGGTCTGTTTCTTTCCTCATTCTTGCTATGGTTTCTTTCAGATCTTGAAATTCATACACTGTTTTCAGTTGTTCACTTAGCTGCATAATTTGTTTCCTATTGAAGAAAATGAGGGTAAATGTGCTTAAGCTTTTATTACATTTGATATGTTGGTCAAAAAGTGCCATGAATTGTCCTCATTTTTAAGTGTCCTCAATTAGAAAGGACCCCCCCAACATATGTAATTTTTTGAGTTTATAATTCTGTTTATGGCTCATCTTGTTCCTCTTAATTCAGCTTCCTGGAATATGTCAGCACTCATTTAAGCGATGACCAGCATACAAGCTCCAGTAGAGTAAAGGTTTCCCAATCTTTCCACTCCCACTGTCTCTCTCTCTCTCTCTCTCTCTCTCTCTGCTTTGCATTTCAAAACCTGATTCACTTAAATCAAACTAAAAGAGCCTGTCTACACTTGGCTTTCAACACATTGATAAAACAGAATGCCTTCCCCAGCCTAAGATAAAATCAGTTCTTTATTTGGAATAAATCTTCGTTCAACAAAGTTCATTCTAGTGCTACATTTGTATGGGTCTTAACTTTTAATTTCCCCTAGTGATAAGGAAGTTTCCTTGCTGGCAAGTGGAATGTTTTCTTTTTCCATCATCTTCATCCTTTTTGTTTCTTGTGGTACTGGAGTTTAAACTCAGGGCTATGCATTTGCTAAGTAGGCCAAGCCCTTTTTGCTTTTTTTTTTTTGAGTAGAGTCTCACATTTATGCCTGGGCCATCCTGGACTGCAATCCTGATATTTATACTTTCTGCATAGCTGGGATGGCAGGCATGCTCCACCACACCCAGTTTTATTGGTTGAGATGATGTCTCATAGACTTTACGTCTGGACTGGCAGAACCATGATCCTCCTGATCTGTGCCTCCTGAATAGCTAGGATTAAAGGTATGAGCCCCCACACCCACTCTTATCACCTTCATCTTTGATAGAACATGCTAAGAAGAGCAGCCCTCCTCGTCTAAGTATTTTGTATAGAACAATAGATTTCAGGTTATGCCTTGCCCTGAGTTACTTCATCTTATAAAGGAACACTTTTGACTTGAGTTACTCCACTTTGAGAATAAGTGCCAAGATAGAATGACTCTACATCTTGTTTATACAAGTAAATAACCAGTCACTGCCAGCACATCACAAAGCACAAACTGGTTTTGAAAAATCTATTTCTGCCAACAAATCATTATACCCGTGAATTTGAAATGTTCATATCAAATCATATCTGAAATACCAGACACATGAGTTAATTCATCACACCAGGTGTAACTCCCTCACTTAGAACTATAAAAGGAGCACCCCGAGACTGACCCAGGCACACTGATCCATCCTCTAGTCACTCTTCACATGCCTCTTCTAGGAAAATTGCCAAAACAAAGGACCAATCTGCTTCTCCAGCTCAAGTGCAATTTTTCCTGCCCATAACACATAGCCCACTTCAAACTGACACTTGAAAGTGCCTGGACCTGCACTTGACAACTCTGTGCCTGGATAGCTCTGTGCCTGGGGTTTGTAAAATGTATCTGGTTCCCTACAGAGACTTTTCCTTGTATCTATATCAGTTCTCTGCCTGTGCCTTCAGTACAGTTCTGAATATGGTAGCCTCTTTAAACCTTTTGTAGCCATTCTGCAATATGCATCTGTGACACACACACACACACACACACACACACTATTGTGTAATATGTGATTGAGAGCTAATATTAGTAATTAAGATTGGAATAAAAGAACCCATGTTTGCCAATGGCCCCAAATGCCAAGTGAAATCAGGAGTACTTGGTGAATTAAAGCCAAAGAGATTGATGTAGCTTGTGAATTTATTGTTCTTCAATAAATTCTGACACTGTGGAAAGACACAAATGTGTCCATCTATGTTTCTGACATAGGTCATTCACAACACATGCTTCTGTTTCACTTCAACTTGCTGGATTCCACACATATAGTTGGTTCAAGTGGATAATGAAGATCTCCATTTTTATTGTTAGCATATTATAACGGTACAGGGGGTAAATTTTGTCATTAACCTAAATGCTTAAAATATGTCTTAATTAGATTCACCCCCATCTTCTTTCTCCTTTTTCTCCCTTCTTAGAACAATTTCAACAGGTTTCATTGTTGCATTTATATACATGAGTACCAAATACTTCCACCTTATTTTCCCTCTTCCACCGTTTCTTTATGTTCTCCTACTTCCACTGGTACCCACCCCTGGACAAGACCTCTTTTACCTTCCTGTCCTTCACTTATTAAAAAAAACAACATTTTTGTTAGTTTATGATAGTTATACAGGGGGGTTTGTTGTGATATTGCCATGTATACATGTATTATAACCCAAATTGGTTCATCTCCTCCATTATTCTCCCGTTCCTACCCCAGATTCCTTCTTGTGGTGACCTCAGTGGGTTTCAATGTTCCATATTCAGCCATGTATAGAAAATACATCAACCATATTCACCTTCTTTACTTTCTCTATTTATCCTGCCCTTAACAGGATATCACTAGTGCCCTCCCCTTAACATGACCTGCTTTATGCTCTGTCCTTCATTGTTTAGGTATCTGTTTGTTGTTCAGTGGGAATTTTATCCTGGTATTTTACCCATGAATACATTATACTTAAGTCAGTCTAACCCCCTCCACTACTCTTCCTCACCCTTTTCCCTCTACCCTGTATTGTTCAGCAGTTTTCAGTGTGTATAGTTGTGTCTTGTTCTTACACAGATGTGATAAATTTCAATATTATTCACTTTCTGTCATTCTTTTCCTCCCTTAGTCTCCTTTAGCAGTCCAGTCCCACTTTTGGGAACATGTTCTATATATATTTATAGGAATATATGATAATGCTTGTATTTGTATTGGATATGAGAGAAAACATGTGATCTTTGTCTTTCTGAGCTGGGCTTACTTCACTTAAGATGATGTTCTCCAGTTCATTCACTTACTCTGGATGACAAAATTTTATTCTTCTTTATGTATCAATAAAATGCTATTGTTTATAAATGCCACATTTTCTTAATCTATTCATCAGTTTTAGGGCATCTTGACAATTCCCATAGCTTGGCTATTGTGAATAAAAGGTGCTGCTATAAACATGGGAATACAAGTGTTTTTACTATAACGTCACTTACATTCCTTTGGGTGTATACCAGGAGTGGTATTGCTGGATTATATGGCAGTTTTATTTTTAGTTTTTTGAGGAGCCTCCATATTGCTTTCCATAGTGGTTGTACTAATTTACATTCCCACCAATAGTTTTTGAGGGTTCTTTTTCTCCACATCCTCACCAACAATAACCATGAAGATATTCTTTTTGATGTGAGAATTGTTTATAAATCTTGCAGGGTACAGTTGAGGGAATGTGAATTTATGGAACTAATTATGTTGGCATTATTCAGAGCATTAATTGATGCTTCCTCACTTTTTTCCTCTAACTCTCTTCTACAGGGAGTTTCCTTCAGGCTCCAACTGTCAGGACTATAATTCTTCAACATAATAATAGTAATAATTACCATTATGATAATGGTATTCTTAAGGTCTTACTGTGTGTCAGACACCACACTAAGTGACTCTGTCTTGAGTAATATGCTCAAGAATCCCTTGAAATAGGTGTTCTCTCTCTCTCTCTCTCTCTCTCTCTGACAGTGCCAGAGTTTGAACTCAGGGCCTTGTGCTTGCTATGCCCCCTGGACCTTTTTTTTTTAGTTATTGTTAAAATAGGATCTCATGTTTTCTGACCTGAACCATGATCATCCTAGTCACACCTCCCACATAGCAGAGATGACAGGTGTACACACCATACCCAGTATTTTATTGGTTGAGATAGGGTCTCACCAACTTTTTGCCTGAGCTACCTTTGAACCACAGTCTTTCCTATTTGCACCTCCACATAATCAGGATTATAGGAGTGAGCTAGCACACTCAGTCCTTATCTTTCTTTTTGCTGAAGAAACCAAAAATGGAGGTCATTTGCCTGAAGCCTTGTGGGTAGTAAGTGGATTTGATCCAAGGTCATTTGACTTCTAGATTTATGCCCATGGTTCCCTGGGTTCCCTGTCATCCTGCTTCCCTTCAACTTGTAATTTATCCAGCAAATCTTGTTATATTATTACATCTGGTCTGGGGAATACAGGCAGTCCCTGTCCTGAGGAATTCCCTACTGTGGGAGTGGTGAAGGAACACAAAACCTTCACAATCTTCAAAGGTGTAGAAGGAGAAACAACCTTTCTCTGAGAAGGTCAGAGAAAGCTTCAGAGGGGAGGTGGTGTTTGGATGGCCACCCAGTAAAGAGCAACAGGAGTTCAGCAGGTGGATCTGTAGGGGACAGGCGTCTCGGTGTCTGGTTGAAGAGGCTCAGTAGGAACTTTTATCTCATCACCTCAGTCTGGCTCCAGGACTTCTCTTGCTGTCTTCTTTATCTTTCTGGATCTGCTCAGGAATCCTGTAGTATTTTTCCACAATGTCTCTGTAGATTAGCTCATTTTGCTTTTTTTGGTGCTACCTTGACATCTTCCTAATACTATAACCACAAAGCAGTGGTTCTCAGGTTCACCCTCAGGCATGTCTTCTCTGGGTCATATGAAGGATTTTACAAGTGCTATATTTTAAAATGGGGACATATCCATGAAAATCTAAATATCTGACATTTTACAAAAAGTGGAGAGACCTGGGCCCAAATCCTGTAGGGCAAAGGTCTTTAGAAGGGTACAGATGTGGCTGTTCTCTTGATTCAGCCATGCAATGTCCCTGGGGCCTGTCAGTGTATTTATGATGCAGTGATCCATTCTCTGAACTAAACAGGTAGGCTGTTTCTTCTGCCTTGTGTAACTTATAATCAATTACTGTATACTTCTGGGGTATTTTCCTGCTGACAATGAGTGGTCTTATGTTTACACTTGTGCTGTATATGACATAAAACTCTATAGATTCAACTTAATTCAGAAACTTTTATTGGGAAGGGGATATTTTTATGCTATCTAACTACACTACGGGAGTTTCTTAGAGGACTATATGGTTCTATGAGGTTTTATACTTGATTAACTCTGCTTTTGCCCAGAGCAGGCTGGCAAACTTTGCCTCAGGTGGTCTGGTGTCTGTTGAAACTATGTGACTCTTATCACTGCAGAAGGAGATCAGCCACAGAAGGTTGTAACACATGGGCATCTTTTTTTGTTTTATTTTTTTCTTTTGGGGGTGCTGGGGTTTGTACTCAGGGCTTCATGCTGCAAAACGGGCTCTCTACCACTTGAGCCACACCCAAGTCCAATGTCATCGAGTTTCAATGGAACTTTATCCACAAAACCAGTGTTGTGTTGGTTTTGACCTGTGGGATGTAGTGTTTTGACTCTTAGTCCGGAATGGCCAACATAATCTCAAGAAATGGCTGATGAATGAAAAAAAAGGATTTAGTAATAAAAATGATCTTTCATTTTGAATGAATTACCATCCTTGTATAAGAGTGCACACTAATGTATGGGCTTCTGAGCAACTGAAGAACTGGACGATCTGGCATGTTTTCCTTGAATAATCTTCAAAAAACATATAATTTGTAGTAGAAACTACTGTACTCCCAATTTCATGTCTCTCAGGTGAGATCAGGTGCACTTGGTAGTGTGGCTGTAGACCAATTCATGTCTTTCAGCACTGCTGAGTTTGGGTTTTTCCCCCAGTGCTGGCCATCACACCCTGGCCTCATGCATGCTAGGCAAGCACTCTACCACTGAGCTACACTCCCAGCTCCCCGATTAACCTCTTAATGACATGAATATTATCTTTTTTGTTTTCAGGAGAGAGCACGAATGCAGTCTCCCATTACCACAAATTATGCAGTCAAGTTTCCCACATTTGGGGAAATCGCACGGGTCAGCACATCGGGAGTGCAATGGATAAGCCTCGCCCTGGGAAAACCACCTTCATGATCATGGTTTCTCCCCGGCCAGGTCAGTATGAATATTATCCTTTTATTAATCCTTTTTTTGTTTTGTTTTTAATTAGCATATGTTGATAGTTCAAGGGGATTTCCTTTTGAGAATTCCATAGATGTGTACAGTGTACTTTGAACAAGTTCACTCCCTCCATTCATTATATTCCTTTCCTCTTCTCCCTGCCTCCCCACCATTGATTGTCTTTTTGTTGTAATCAATGGCTTGTGGGGAAAAAACCCACTGGTAAGCTTAACCAAGCAAGAAAGAAGCAGACAAACATAATTACCACCCTGGCTTTAACTGTTCATTATCAGTTCCCTAAAGTCAATGTGGGGCCCTTTCTCACTTCAAGACTGAGTATGTAGAAATTCAGTAGGCGCCAAGGAAAATCAGAAGTTGAGCCATCTATCCCTTGAGCACAAATCTTACCTCACAGAGTCATGGTAAGCCTTGACTTTTACGAACTCCCCAGATGAGGACACAAGATGTTTCAGAATCCTCTCAATTGCAGACATGTTCTCTCTGAGGCCTATGAAGTCCACCTCACAGCCCAGCAGGATCTCTCTTTTATCTTCCAGGTTAGCAGCCAGCCTAATGAACCCTCGCACTGCTTTGGAGAGGGAAGAAATGGCATGGTCCCATTGATCAAAGCACAAGTGACATCGGAGACAAGCAGGGAATTCCTGGCGGTGACCCCGGGCACAGCGATCACATTGCTGGCCACTGATACCTTCCCGGCAGTGGCACAAGCCTGTGTCCAGGTCACAGACAGGCTTCTGGGTTCCTTCTCTGTTGCAGTCACATGCTGAAAAGGAAGAGAGAAGGAACAGAGAATGTCGCCTGGTCTTTTGTTCATGACTAGATCAAGAATAAACCCCTCTTCTCTCTTCCCAGGATTTCCCAACTCATGTCTCTAAGGTGACAATTTAAAGACATGATTTTAGAGATCAGTACAATGGCAACTAAAATACAGCATGCCTCTCTATACCCCACTAATCAGCTCATGGTTTTTATGTGGAAAATATTAGATGTTCTTTTTATTGAGTGAGTGTCCACAGGTGGGGTCTTCATCTGTTTTAGTGAGGCACATGAATTTCATGCACACTGGTGACTGCAGCTGCTGCCTCCAAGGCTGCTTTATGTGTGCCACTGGCTTCAAGAGGTCCCATGGCCACACTGCTGCTTAGTAATATCCAGCTTGGGGGTACTGACCCCCACTGTTTTCCATGATAAGAAGATTATTTCATTCTCAAAAAAAAAGAGGAGAAATTCAATGCATTTTGTCATGAGTTTTTTCTTCTTCTTGTACTGGGGTTTGAACTCACAGACTCACACTTGCTAGGCAATTGCTATACTTAAGCCATGCTCCCAGCCCTTTTTACTTTATTTTTCAGATAGTGGCTCACATTTTCTGGCCAGGTGATCCTCCTACCTCCATCTTCTGGGTAACTGGAATTACAGGTATGAACTACCATACCTGGCTGCATTTTTGTCATAGTTTAAAAAAGAAAATAGCTGATGCCACATAACACTTTATTTGAGTAGGTGTCTGATGAAGTCAGAGGATGGAGGATGGGGAGAGCTATTGCCTTTACTGCAGTTTTCAAAAGGTCAGGGAATCACTAGCTCATATCTTTGGACTCACTACAAAAAACAAATGATTTGTGCTAGGGCAGTGAGTGACTCAAGTGGCAAAGCATCCATCTGGCAAGCACAATACCCTGAGTTCAAACCCAAGTAGAAGAAAAAAGAAAGGAAGGAAGGAAGGAAGAAAAAGAAAGAAAGAACGAAAGAATTTAAAAGGCATTTGACAGCTTGAGTATACATGGTGTGAATTATAAAGAAAGTGGATATAATCCATCCAGCACGTTCAGATTTGGTCCAGGGGGCCTCACTCAGCATGAAGCCCTTGGGAGCAGCATATGTCACTTTGTAATGCTGGGCCAAAGTTCCTCAACTGTTCTCCCCAGGAGCCTAAGCAGGGTCCGGAGCCTGAGTTGACCATTTGCAAAGCTTTCCCTATTGCTTCAATATAAAAGAAGAATGCATTTTTATGGAATAAGATTACTAAAATATTAGAGGGGCCCAGAAAAAGAGGCTCTCCAACATTTTCCAAGAGCCAAAATTCCTTCTTTTTTTGGGTGCTGGAGATGGGACCCAGGGCTTTGTATATGCTAGGCAAGTAGTCTACTACTGAGCCACATCCCAGCTTCTTTTCTCTGGTTTTGAAATGAGCAATTCCACTTAGAAAACTCAGTTAAATATGGCCTGGAGAAAACCATTGAGAACATGTCTTTGAATGGGGCAAGGGAATGATGGCAATGTGTTTTAGCACAACAGCACATTTTTATACAGGTGTGGAGAGGAGAGAAGGGTTACTATGTGTAGGAACATGGGGCAACCATGATTACAAGCTTGTCACATTTGACACTTCTTTGAATGACTTCCTTTGGAAGCTGACTTCAAATGAAGATTCAAATCTCACCTCCTAGGAACCAGCCTGGACTCTAAATTTGTCCTCTCCAATATGGCACCCATTAATCACATGTGACTATTCAGTTTAAATAAGTAAGTGCTCAAGTCGGTTCCTCTGTTGTAGTACCTACACTTTAAAGTGCTTGATAGTTTCCTGTGTCTAGTGGCTCCTGTGATGGACAGCATGGAAAGTGAACATTTCCCTCATTGCAGAACATTCTACTGGACAGAGATGCTCTAAGTCTGCAATCAGGGCCCATACATGGAATGAAGGGTGCTAGGACACAAACTCCAGAGGACAGGGTATCATCTTGCTTGTTCACTATCTACATTACCCAGCAGGCATTCTATGAGTAATCGTCGAATAAAATAAGAAAGAGACTATGTGATAGCCCCAGAGTCACAAGAGTCACTGAGAAAACATCTCTGGTTTCCTCTGACCTCTGTGCCAGCTCTACCTCAATCCAGAGTGGCCAGTTTTCTTCATCAGGCTTCCAAAAGAGCAGAACATTGGCTGTAAGTCATGACCCTATGGGTTTGTTTCACTGTAATGACTTTGAGAGATTTTAATATAGACTATAGGTTTCATCATACACTAACATTTAATATGGGCTAAAAGTTTTGATATAGGAGAAATAATCTTTTTCTGTAGGTCTACAAAAATATTTTCAAAAGTAGGAATTAACTTAGTGGTTTTTCTAAGTCTATATTGCTAAGAACAACAACCAAATAAAGGAATCTGAAACTCAGTGGGTTTGTAATAGGCCCGTGTTGGGGCCAGCTGACTATATCCATGTGTTTTTAGAATTCCAGTACTTACGAATGCATTGCCCAAATGGACCACCATAATAGCCTTCCTTGCACTCACTGCAGCGTTTCCCAGCATGGCCTGACTTGCATGGACACTGGCCTGTAAGCTGTGAGAATAGTCATGAGTGAAGAACGGACACTCTTCATGGCCTATGTTTTCATTTTCATAGAAAACATTTTTCCCTCTGGTGATTTAGGACATACAGCTGTGCAAGGGAGGAGGAAGGATAATTTCCACAGCCAGCAACCACCGCCGACACTACCAAGGATCAGGAGTTAATGTGTTTTGGCTTAGGTCTTTTGAATATACCGCCTGCTTCCAGCTGTTCAGGGACAGGTGGCCCCAAACTAGGAAACATACACAGATGTAAATGAAAACAAAACAAACATTGGGAAATGGGCTGCATTCTTTTCCTCTATAGTTATGAGAGTTCCTTCCATCAGAGATGGAGAGAAGCCAAAGACCTGGTCTAATGTTCATTAATTAATTTGTCAAGTAATGTTTCCATTAAAGAACATGAGATGTAGTTTCCATTAACTGGGGTGATGTTTTACTCAACAAAATGACATTTTTTTGCACTTTACAGTTAATCATTTAATGACATTTATCTAACTGTGTTTTGGGGAGAAAGCTGAACTTTCTTCTACCCTTTCAACTGGATTCTTGACTGGCTTTTATGAAAACCAAGATGACTGGGAAATAACAGAAGAAAATATAAAAGCAAATCACTATTGTGGTAGTCTTATATTATACTTGACCAAATCTGCTTAAACATCAATCAACTCTGTAATAGGTTGCCAATGAATAAGTAACTGGATGCAAAGAGGCTAGATCTGCCAAGCATCTATCCATTGTTGGAATTCCCATTAGCTCCTGGTCAAATATAGGGAATAATGGGAGCCTTGGTGTCCCTGAGGCCTGTCAGATTGATGGTTGTTCTTGATTGTTTTAAGCAATGTTTTCTTATAGTAATGTATAATCTACCTCCTTGTAACTGGTTCCCATTATTCTGAGTCCTAACTTCCAGAATTACACAAAACAGGCAGCCTCCCTCTTCCCCAAACAGATGGCCATCTCAATTGGCCTTTGCTTTTCTTCTTTGGGCTGGGCACCTTCATTACAGAACAGCATTATTCTACGCATGAACCCACACTTTTGTTTTGTCTGTATTATGTTTACAATGTGGTGCTTAGCAGAAAGACAAATCCTGTATGTTCTTATTCACATGTGGAGGCTAAAAAAGTTGATCTCATAGGAGTAAAGAGTAGAAGAGTAGCCACCAGAGACTGGGAAGGATAGAGGGAGGTGGCAATAAAGAAGGGCTGGTTAATGGCTACAGAAATACAGTTAGATGGGGGGGATGTGGGAAAGAAATAGGGGGCGGGTGGTGGGGGGAGCAATGACCTAAACAATGTATGCACATGCGAATAAACAAATATAAATAATAAAAAAAAGAAATACAGTTAGATGGGAGGATTGAACTCTAGTATTCTATAGAACAGTAGGGTTACTATAGTTAGCAATAATTTATTGTACGTTTTAAAATAACTGTAAGAGAGGATTTTCAATGACCTTAACACAAAGAAGTGATGTTTGAAGTACAGATGTGCTAATACCCTGATTTGATCATTCTACATTGTATACATGTATCAGAATATCACATTGTACCCTGTAAATATATACAATTACTATGTGTATTAGTTAGAACTTTAAAAAATTGAAAAAAAGATGTCTGAAATGACAGAAATGCTCCTGGATTTGTCTGACCAGTATAGCTGATAATGGGAAGAAAGTCATGCCGAATCTGGGCATGGCACGCCCTCTACCTCAGGCTGAAGAGGCGTCATCTCTCTGGCAGCCCTGGAACACTGCTGGCTCATCTGAAGCTTGCATATATTGAAAATCCTCAGACATTTTTCACACGAGCGGGTGCCAAGTTATTACTCCCACCCTGTATTTATGCAAGGGATTTTAAAGCTTGATTACACAACTTTATTTTTACCCTGTGAACATTTCATTTTGTTTCTAGCCTACATGATAGCCTGGTAGGATATCTACCAGTTTTTTTTTTTTAATCATATTAACTTACAACTTTGCAGCATCTGCAAATTTGAGAAGATTGTTTGTCCAACTCCATCTAAATTGTTGATGAAAATATTGGACAGCACACTTGGATCTCTCTGTGGGAATGCACTAGGGACTACCTCCTGGCTGACACAGAGACATTTATCAGTAGTTGTTTAAACAGCTGGGAATCTAATTGCCCACATGTCTTCTCTGTTCCAATGCAAGTGTTTCCTGATTGTAGAGAGCAACCTTCCTCCATGGACCGAACAACCCAAAGTACCCTTTCATAAGAGGCTTTTGGTTAAACCACTGCCATCTGATTTTCAAGTTCATAGGCTGCTCTTGGCCTTCATGACTGAACTTTGTGTTGAATGCTGCTACAAATATGCTTCCTAAAAGGTCTAAGAAGCATGCCAGACAGTGATGTCATGAATGTCAGAAGACCCTTATGGATTACGAAGCCATGGTTGGTGGATGCTAGTTTGGAGAGTAGAGAAAAATATGTAAGATGGGGGTGGTCATCCAAGTGCCAAGATTTTGGTTTCTAAACCATTCCGCAATAAAGGAACCAACACTCATTGGGGACATAACTGATTCTAGGGCTGGGGAAGGAAATGTATAAGATGAGCCCAGAACATTTTGCACTGCCAGAAAGTGAGGAACTACTTTGAAAAATCCTACAATATTGGAGTATGTCAAAGGGATATAGGAGCCAACTGAAAGAGCTTCTAATGGCCTAGCCTACAACAATTTGAACAACAAAATGGTATTGGACCATAACTAACAGTTTCATATAAGTATCCATAAATCCACAGTGTTAAAAATAAATGATTGGATAAATGAATAAATGGTGACAACAGACAACTCTCCAGTGCAGAAGAACACTAATGATTTATGGAATCCCTCTGTCCTCAAGGAAGTAGATATAACTCCTTACTCCTTAAGAATGGGTTGTAAAAGGACTTCCTTCCAAAGAGTATAGTACAGAAAGGAAGAAATGAATAATTTTATAATAATATAGAAACTGAACAAACACTAATTCTGCTAAGTGATCAAAATTCACATGAACAGTAAGAATTCATATATACAACAAGAACTCTTAACATGTTGTGATGAGAAGGAGGTGACTTTACCTCTCTGGTCTTCTCACAACCCAAAAAAACCTCAGTCTAATGAGAAAGACATAACATAAATTTGAATGGAAGAACATTCTACAAAATACTCCTCAAACTATCAAGGCAAACACAAGGAAAGTCTGAGAAACTGTCACAGATAAGAGGAACCCAAGGTGACATGATGACTAATTGTAATGAGTTCTGGTTGAGGTCTTGGAACTGAAAAAGGACATTAGGGAAAACTAAGGAAATGTGAATAAATTATGGAATTTAATTAGTGATGATATAGCAATATTGGTTCATTAATTGTGCAACTGTATCATACTCAAGTAAGACACTAGTAATAGGGGACACTGTGGGGTACATTTTCTCTGTACCATCTTCACAATATCACATATCTATTTTAAAATAAGAAGTGTATGTGTTTGAAAAGAGGTATGGTGTGTTTATGTGAGTTGCTGGGGGAGGAGTGCAGAAAAGGAAGAAAATGAGAAGGGAAACATATTCTATATAAGAAACACCTTCGACCAGGAATGGTGGCTTACACCTATAATCCCTGCACCTAGGAGGCTGAGGCAGGAAGCTAGCCTGGGCTACATAGAAAGACCCTGTCTCAAAATAAAAACCTGCCTTCAAAAGTTTACTTGTATAAAAATTTGGCCTTGAATAATAAGTTGAACAATGGAACTGAAATTGGAGATGAGTCATGTTTACTCATTAGAAACACTAGAAAGACTCCAGCTTCTTAAATTAGCATTTTGATTCCAGTTAAACCCTGATCTCCATGTTGTGGGTTTGACTTTTTCTAAAATTTCTTATTGCTGTTTTATCTTCTCTTCATCTCTATCAATGTGAGAATGTTTCAAAGAATGGATTCATTAAGTCAAAAAGGGAGGCAAAACAAAAACTAAGCATGGCATTAATAAATTTTTTTAAATAAGTGGACAGTGTTAGAATATTTAAAAAAAATTCTGTGTTCCTTGTTTTATACACTAAAAATGAATTGTGTGGTTAAGTAGTGTTAATTATATATTGAACAGCTTATTCTACTTAGAAACCATCAATGCTGGTCTGGAATAAAGAAGACAGCTCATTTTACCCACATGTAAAGCAATTGTGAACCACAGGGAATGACAGTGGAATTATAATTGAGTGCTGATGACTCATGCTCGTAATCATAGCTACTTGGGAGGCTGAGACTGGGAGGACTGTGGTTTGAGGACAGTCCGGACACATAGTTTGTGAGACCCCCATCTCAACCAATAGCTGGGTGTAGTGGCACATGCCTGTCACCCTAAAGCTACACAGGAGGCTGAGATCAGGAGGATTATAGTTCAGCCCAGCCAGGGGGGAAGTCAGATTTCGACTCTATTCAATGGAAAAAACCTTGGTGTGGTGGAACACATATCTGTCATTCCAGTTATGGCAGGAAGCTTAAAATAGGAGGACAGTGATCCAGGCCTTCCCTAGGCAAAAGATGAGGCCCTACTTCAAATTAACCAGAGGAAAAGGGGCTGGCGGCAAGGCTCAAGTGCTTGCCTAGAAAGTTCAAAGCCCTGAGTTCAAACCAGAGTACCACCAAAAAGAAAAAAAAGTGAACTGTCTATTCTAAAGGCACCTGTTTGTTTTCATTCTGATTACTAGTGACTTCTGACAATCTCTTTCTTGGTCCTGTTATGAGGATAAGCATATCCTCTGCATAAAAATTAGTGGAAAGGAAGTTGGGTGTCTGGGTTTCGCTGTGTCTGGAACTTGACTTTCCCAGTCACAGAGAGGCCTGAAGAAAACTGAAGAAGACAAAGTTTAACCCTGAGACCTTCGTTCTCCTTTCTTTTTTTGGGGGGGGGTATGTCTTTTCATTCCTTGGGTAATAAAGACCAATTGCTAATTAGTCTCAAAACACTAATTAGCAATGGCACATAAAAAACATTCCTTACACATTAGGAAACCATGTTTAGCAGCCAATTCCTCCTCTGATGCACTAGTAAGTTTTAAAGTGTCTTACCTTGTCACAATGGTTATTTTGAGAGGTCTGGGGATCACAGTCGCATGACTGGCATCCTTTGCCAGGGACCAGATTCCAGTATTCGCGATGCAGGCCACAAGGCTGTCACAGTCAGGCCTGTGAACGTGTGTGGCAGACAGGGCAGGATGCAACCGAGATGATAGGTCGCAACTGGCAAGCTTCTTCACCATGGGGACACACAGTGTGCTCAC